TTTCAGCAGATCGAGCCAATCTGTTACGCTGCTGGTTTTATCTTCTCCTCAAGTCTTCATGTCTGGTCTTTCTGACGCCGGTTTAACACCACTTGTATGGTGAGAATATGGCTTCGTTGATGGTGTCCCAACTGCGTGCTTCATCTCGGCGACAGTATGAAGTTTCCTGGCAGTTCTTTCATTATTTTTTGTCCCTCTGTAAGTTTTCTTCTGTTTGGGATCAGGCTGACTTCTCATCCTTTTCTTGGTTGTTTCAGGACTGTCATCTTATACTGAATACTGTCGCGCAATGCTGGCAGAGCCGCTTCAATTAGTGTTCGGGGTGAATGTTTCTTCGGCTCCGTTCTGCAATCTGTCTCTTGCATTGTTTCACCTCTAGCCTACTCATGTACTGCTTGAGCCATCCTGATCGTTTAGACCTGGTGCTCTCTTTTCTCTCTCCTCCTTGGTTTGTTGTGGCCCTTTTCTGTTCAAGTTTATTTTGCGGCAGCTCTTCCTATTGGCCTCTGGGGGGTCAGGCTGGGGAGCTTCATGCTCTCCTCCAGCACAGAGGTTTCAGATCTGATGGTCCTGGTGGTAGGTTTGTTCGTTTGCGGCTGTCTCCTTTTCTTGCGAAGAATGAGACTGCTGCTTTCCGAAGCGGTTTGGGTTGTTGATATTTGGTTGGTTTTGCCGAGGGTGCATCGTGTGTTGTGTCCGGTTGCGGCTCTTCACTGTTAGCGGCGTGCCACGGCCTCTGTGGCCAAGGACGCGCTTTGGGTTAACCTAGTTTCCCTTCCCTGTTCCAGGGTTCAGGTCTCCCAGGTCGTCTGCAAGGTTATTCGATCCAGCCAGCCTGTGGTCTACCCTCGTGCCCATGACTTTCGTTATTTTGATGCATTGGCTACCGTGTTTGGTAATATGGGCTGGTGGGCTGACATTCCGGCACAGGGTTTTTAGAAGTTGAACAGGGTCCTGGCCGCTTGCTACCTAGTCAATGTTCCTGGTCTTAGTCGGGCATGTGTTGCATTGCGTCGGCGGTTGTAGCCAGTTGTCTTGACTTCGAGTTAAGGGGCAAGTGGCGATCGCCTCGTGGGTAAGTCCCTCTTGTTTTATCTTTGGTTAAGTAGCTTCGGGGAGCTGAAGGGGCTTTCCCCCAGAAAACCAACATTGTACAGGCATACCTCAGAATAAGAGTTTAATCCGTTCCTGGAGACGCCTCGCCTTCCGAAAACTCGCATTCCGAAGTTAATTTCCCCATAAGAAATAAAGGGAAATGAATTAATCCGTTCCTGACTACCCCAAAAACCCCACATCAAACTAAATTTTTATACCTAATTTACCTAATTCATCTAAATAAACCTACAAAACTGTGTTCCAGTTATTACTTACCTTGCTGTCGAGTGCTGTAGGCGTATGGAAGATGGTGAGGAGGGGGGAGGAGGAGAGGAGTTACTGTTTGGAAGGGGAGTCCCCTTCCATAATCACATCACATAACCCCATGCCTTGTAACACTATGGATACCACTTCTCTTTATAAATTTTTCAAACCAGCCCCTGCTTGCCTTAAACTCTTTCTTATCTGCATCACTCGTTGCAGGGGTATTCTTTAGAAGGTCTTCGTGCAACACCCTGGCTTTCTCACAAATAATGGCCTCCGAAACACTATCACCCCTCAACTCCTTGTCGTGTATCCAAATTAATAACAACTTTTCCACTTCTTCAAGTATTTGTGGTCTTTGTGCCGTTAATGTTCTTACTCCTTTTGCCACTTTAGCACCCATAATCTTATTTTTCTTCTTAAGTATAGTGCATATTGTTGATGTGGCTTTGTTGTACTGCCTACAAAGTTCAACAACACGTGTACCGTTCTCATGCTTCCGAATGATCTCTTGTTTCTCCTCTATTGTCATCCTCACAGGAGCTTTCTGGCCTTTATCCTTACCACTGGCTTTCTTGGGACCCATGGTAAGATATATAATAACAAATTGTATAGACAAATCACCAAAAATCCAACAAAACACTGAAAATCCGCGAGAAGAATTGATGTGGGGGTAGTCACTGAGCGCGAGACAATGGTAAACTGAGGGGCGGCGGGGCAGAGGGGCGACGATCGCCGAACCACCACGCGCTAGGTCGGCCTGTACGCGTATCAACAAACTCGCGTCCCGAAGTAACCCTCGCCTTCTGAGACAAATTGTTGGAGTAAATACTGCTCGCCTTCCGAAAACCTTGCATACAGGGACAATCGCATTCCGAGGTACCACTGTATGTAATGAAACACCATTTTCTGGGTGAAACCCGTAGGCTCCCCGGCAGACCTCCCTCCCGCCGGTCGACGGTTTTCGTGGGTTTTTGACATCCAGCCTCAGAACTGGGGTGGATACCTGGCACGGGAGGTCTGGAGCTTTCCCTTCTCCCTTCTGGGGAGGGGGAAGCTATGCAGACAGCGGTGCAGTGACCGATGTGACGTCATGATCGTTTGCTCCTGTTTAGGTTGGGGATTTCTGTCCAACAGTTCGACTTTCAGTAGTAATTTTTAACCAGATAGGGTTTATTTTGGGGCGCCTACCTTTCTGGGTGCCTGACTCGTTTGATGGCAGACACAGAATGATTCGAACCACACAGGGGGTTTCTATAAGCCATTGCTTCTTGTGCCTCTCTGAAGGGGCCAGGTTTTGGCTCATGGTCTCCGGTAGGCCTAAGAACTTCATTCGCTTGACTGATGCCAGGGTCTAATACTGTACATTGTCACCGGGTTTTGACTCCTCTAGCTATCGGCTGCTAGGGGTTCAGAAGACAGAATACTCAGCCCCTCCGACTCTCGGGACTCACCGGAGTCTCCTGGTCCCACATGAGAGGACAAGCAATGCCCACCACCGCAGGTCTTTGCTCCCACCACTATGGGGTGCCACTGATTCACCCTGGGAGCCCTTCAGTCAACCACAGGGGAAACTGCTGTTAGCAATTCCGGCCTAGACCCGTGGAGAAGAGAAGGAAGACCCAGGCTTACCTTTTAACAATAACCTTCCCCGAGTCTTGCCTGCCAGACATAAAGGTTGCAGGAATTCCTTTCCCGTCTGCCTTCCCTACCTTCTTTTAACAAGGTCGCCAGCTGGGTTGGTATATCTGCACCCCAGCAATGCAGTTCAGTGGGTGTATTCTATATTGCTTGTTGCCAAAGTGTTGCTACTCCTATAGAGTTGACACTGGTCTGTCAGCCCAAGGTACACTTCCATTAAAGTCTGTGTGGCTTTACCTCTCTCCAGCCACTACATTGCTTGTTGCCAAAGTGTTGCCACCATTTCGACTGTGATACTGGTCGGAAGGCCTAGGGTACACTTCTATATAAGTCTGTGCTGCTTTACCACTCTCCAGACAATAAGACCTTCTGTAGAAAATGTGGTGTTCACTAGGTGATACTATGATAACCCTTGTGTATGCTCATAGAGATTATTATGGAGGCACACTTAAACACAATGATAAAATGTGTGAATTTACTAATATAAACTACATGATCACACATACATTTACAAGCAATACAGGAATGGAAAATGAGAATAATAAATCTGGAGATCGTCAGCAACTCTTCTTTCACGACCTCCAACAACTCTCCCAACTGGGCAGATTAAAAAGGAGCCACACACTCCCTCACAGAGGGGCCTGTTCGTCAACGTCAGCTACCTCCTCTTCAACTGCCCCGTCATCCACACTCGCTGTCCTCTTCAACAGTCTTGGACACAAGCTGCCCTGCAGCCTATCCTACTACTAATGTATCAATGTTATACTGCAACATACATAGGTAAATATCGTGGCCTACCTAGCCTACTCAAACAAGGGGTAATGGAAGGGAAATTGATCTACCTTTACATTCCTGGCTCACGACGCCTGTCCCTCAATGGTGTGAGGTTCCCATGCTTCCTGAGTAGGTCCTGAGTGTAATTACCTAAGTGTAGTTACAGGATGAGAGCTATGCTCGTGGTGTCCCGTCTTCCCATCACTCTTTGTCATATGACATTTTGAAACTACTGACGAAGCAGTAAAGGATTTCAAACACGTGTCGTGAAGCCTTTGTGTCGTTGCCGAACCACTCCCAGAGATTCAGATATCCCAGTCCTGGTTCACCAGTGGGCTCTGAGCTAATCACTGTATGCCCACACTCGTCCCTTCCACAAGGCGTTGCTTCTTGCCCTAGGAATGGTGTCGTCCCTCCAAAATCCTCAGTGAACGTGACCCGGTCACAGCTAGGCCTGCCCACCTTCCAGACCCCCTCCAGCGTCAGGCGGCGCCCCTCCAGCGTTGTCGCCGACCGATTCTTCAAGTTTTGGCTCTGCTCAATGAACTTGGTTTCTTCTTGCTTCCCGGAAGCACAGGGTCTTCAATAACAATGGTGGGCTGCGATGGCAAGTTTAATCCACTGAGTAAGGCTTGTAGAGCCTCAAATCCTCGAGAGCTGACCAAGAAACGTCCTCTCCCTCTCGCAGTCAGACCAGCTCTGACGTTGGCGCTGCCCGGGGAACTCGGTGACGTCACGGCGGGCTCTGATTGGTCGCCCGTGACCTAAGTCACCCAATCTGCATTCTGCTAGCGTCCTCTACAAAATGGCGGATCTGCAGGTAGGGGGTACCATTTCATTTGTATCATTTCATATTTGTATTCCCCTTACCTACAAACTTATAATGTATATTTCTCCCTTATCTGGCGACGATTTGGTCGCCGCATATACCACAGACTCCCCGTATCTAAGAGAATCAGTAGAGAAAGCTGATATGACTCTTAAAGCAGGCAAATGGAAGAAATAGGAGAGGCCACCGTAACAACATTCATATCAGCCCGGATAGCTCCGAGCAGCCTTCGAATCTCGCCCAGAAAATGGCATTTCATTACATTCAAAACTGGTTTTTAACAAGGTGGGGAGGCGTGTTCTAGGGTTTGGCAGGTCGAATGAAATCACTTAGAGTTTGTTTATTTAAGCAAGTTCACACTGTAAAGAGATAAAGCAAATTATTGACTTTGTTTCAGAATTTGGACCTTTTATTAAAGCTGATCCAGGAAGTTGCTGATAAACACAGTGATACAGAAGTTCTGGAGACTGCAGCTAAAACACTCGAGCTTCTTTGCAATGATGATTATGCCATATATTCACGTTGTGATATTGCACGTTCTTCACTACTTGACATGGTTGTAAACAAATACCAAGAAGCCAATGATGAATATTTAACTCTTCTTGATGGTGTAAGTAGTCATTAGTTTTATCTAAAACTAACTCTCTATAATTTACTTTTACAAAATGTTGTTCTAGTTAACTTTGTAGTATTAATTTGAATTCAGAATCTGGTTTGCTTAATCTCAAATCATAACTTAATGTAAAGTGGATTGCAACAAATTTATAGTTGCTAGTTTTCCACATTGACAATTTTATATTATTTTTCTTCCCTGAACAGGAGGAGGAGCCTGATGAAGATGAAACTTTTGCTCTGGTATCATCAGTGAAAAAAGTATCCATTTTTTATTCCTGCCATAATATGGGCCCTTGCAATATTTGGAACTCCCTTTACAGAAACATAATTTCTGTTGTAGACAGTAGCAAAATACTACCAGAAGAGGTACGTAAGCATAAAGATTAACAAAAAATGTGTGTGTATAATATACAGTACAGCCTAGATTCAATGCACTATATGAGACCAACCCAGTGGTTTTCTTTTTTTCTTGTACATAATAAGAATACATTATCATATTATATACTGTACCTATATATTACTACTCTACTAAAAAATACTGTGTCTCAGTTGTTATTTACCTTATTGTTGGAGTTATGTCCATTTTGAAGTCTTGTGGAGTTGTCAATGCTGTACAGTAAATACGTACTGTAGTGTATTATGCCATCAGCACTGTTGATTAAGTAGTTCTGCTGTATGTTGAATACTACAATACAGTTTATGAAAACTATTGTACACTAAAATTACTGCAACTTTAATTTTAACACTACATACACACTTAAATTTAACACTTGTTCAAACTGTTCACTCTACACACAATGTTTTTAGATGTTTGCATCAGCTTTGCTGGTGCTCACTGCTGCTGTGTTGGCTTCAGCTGCTTCTGACCTGGTGCTGGCTGCTGTTGTACTGGTGTTGGGTACAGCTGTGCTGGTACTGGGTATATCTGTGCTGGTGTTGGGTACAGCTGTGCTGGTGCTGGGTACGGTTGTGCTTGTGTTGGGTACGGCTATGCTGGTTGATTTTCTGCTACTAGTTCGTGAAAAATATTGACTCATTTTCGTTTGTTTCCTACCTTTTGTCATGTCCTTGAGACAAACATCTTTCATCATCCTTAGGTGTTGATAAAACCCTGGTAGCTCTGGATTGTCAGTTTGTGAAATGATCTCAAGGAGTTTTTCAACATAGAACAATGCATCGGCACACGTAGCAGATTGTAACCTGCTATCATGCTCATCCTCTTCTTCTTCGTCGTCGTCGTCGTCAACATTGCCAGTAACATTTTGTATAATCTCATCATCTGTTAAATGACCAATTGGTGGATCAACTTCATCAATATCTAAGCACTCCTTCACATCGTTCAGCGTCAACTCCTCCTCATCAGCAGCACGCAGTTCTTGATAAATTTCACTTGAAAATCCTTCAAAATCCATTTCTTCCTCAGTCACTTCTTCAGCATAATCAAGCAACAGGAGTTTTTTCCAACAATTTCTTAATGTTGACTCTTTAACTTCATCCCAAACTTTAGCCCAGTTGTAAATGGCTTCCTTAATTGAGTATTTTTTGTAACGTTCCAGTGTTGCTTGACCTCGCGAATCGGTTTCTTGTCTTCATCTGACTCAAACACCACCATGATTTCTTTATTCATTACTCATTTGTAGAGCCTTTTCATTGCATATATAACACCCATATCCATTGGCTGGATCAGAGCGGTGGTATTTGGAGGTAAGGCCATACATTTGATGCATTCATCATGTGACGCTAATGTGTCGAGCCCAACATGAGCTGGGATATTGTCATCTAAGAGTAATGCCTTGATATCATTCTGCCTCACTCCACACTTTTTTATCTGAAAATCTCTTACTTCTTTGCAAAAATGATTTTTGAACCAGTCTACAAAAATATCTCCCGTAAACCAAGTTGTTTTAGAGTTGTAGTAGACCACAGGTAGCTTGTTCATTAAACTTTTCAAAGCACGTGGGTTTTTTGTCTTCCCCACAATGGTGGACTTTGTTCTGTGACTTCCGTCTGCATTCGCACACAGCATGGCAGAAACTTTTTCTTTGTTCACCTTACGGCCAGGAACACTCTCATCTAGCCTGGATGCCAAAGTGTTGTTCTGCAAGCATTTCCAATTAAATCCTCTCTCATCGGCATTGTATACCCGAAAACACCTTAGATCATTTGTTATTATGTAATCATTTAATTTACGCTTAAATGGCTCGACAGAATCCGTATCTGCATTTAACGATTCTCTACAATCTTTTCGTGTTCTTAATATTATGCCTATTCTTAAATCTTTGCAACCATCCTTCACTTGCTCGAAAATCTGGAATGTTCATCTTTTGTGCAAATTTATCCGCGGCAGTCTTAATTGCGTCGCCACCAAGTGGCATCCCCACAGAGCACTCCAGGTTAAACCATTTATACACAGCTTCATCAAATTTTGTATTTCTAGAACCTTTTATTGTTTTTCTTTTATTTAATGCACAGTATTTCTATGATTTATCATACACATTTATGCAATATTTCAACAGGTCACAAAGTACTGCATATCATCTTGCTTCTTTGGAGTAATGTGGGAGTTACATCAAATAGAAGATATGAATGAAAAGAGGGCAATTACACATGATGTTGTTGAAGCTCTACGAACACGGCTCAATCATTTCCTAGAAGCATGCAAACACTTACTGGCAAACTCCAGTAATGCAGTTTTTCGAGAGGAGGTAAGCTTGTTTTGTAAGTCTCTGTTGACTTGTATTATTATTTTGTAGATATAGATGTTTCCTGATGGTTTTGCCCCTTTTTTTCTGTTTGAAGTAAACACTACCATGGCTACCTACCTTGTGGCTAATTAGTGGAGGTTCCAGGGATCAATGGGCCCACAGCCCGGTCTCCAATCAGGCTTTCTGGTTGGTTGCCTGGTCAACCAGGCTGTTGGATGTAGTTGCTTACTGCCTGAAGCATAAGTCACAGCCTGGTTGGTCAGGTATCCTATGGAGGTGTTTATTGAGTTTTCTCTTGAACTTGGTGAAAGACCGGCCAGTTATGCCCCCTATGTGTAATGGGATTGTTGAAAATTCTTGGTCCCTTGATGTTGATAAGAGTTCTCTCTAAATGTACATATTGTGCCTCTGCATTTCAGTGCAGCTATTTTGCACATCCTGCCATGCCTGTTGGTTTCATGTGATGTTATTTTCGTATATTTCCTGCTGCTCTCCTCTAGCAGCAGGGATTTTGTTCTTTTGGCCATGTTGGGCAATTTGTTCGTCTGCAACCAACTCCTTCTTTACCGGCAAAGAATAACTTGGTTGGCACCTGAAGGGATCCTTTGATGCTTGGTTCACAAAGGATACATCTTGTGTTGTGTCCAATGATGGCTGGAGAAAAGAGAAAGCTAGATCTTCAAGGAAAAACTAGATAGTGTTCTACAAGAAGGGCCCAATCAACCAGGCTGTGGTTGATATGTGGTCCTGTGGGCTGCTCCAAACAACAGCCTGTTGGACCAAGCTCTCACAAGTCAAGCCTGGCCTCGGGCCAGGCTCAGGGAGTAGAAGAACTCGTAGAACCCCATCAAGCGGGTATTAAGCAGGCTTTCCACCACTACCTTTGTGCCACTGATTCAGCCTCAGTGGGTGCTTTGTGGGTTGATCCTCTATTCTTGGCCCATTGATCCAAGGCTCATATTTTTCAAGTTGTCTCCGGTGTTAAGTCTAGCCAGCCTGTGGTCTACCCTCACACCCATGATGCTCAGAAATATGCTACTTTCTCGGCCTTATTTACAATTACCTTATGTCCTGGGTTGATATTCGGACACGGGTTTTGGATATCAGGGTTCCTGCAGCCCAGTATCTTGTCAATGTTCTCTGGCCTCAGCACCCGTGTGTGTTGCTTTGGGTTGTGTTTTTCTGCCGTCTTTGTCTTAATTCATGTAGTGCACCCTCCTCCCCGGTAAGTGCCCATTTGTTTTCCTTCTCTATGGGTAGCTAGCTTCAGGAACAACAAGGCCTTACCCAGAAAACCAGCGTTGAACTTAATGAAACGTTATTTCTAGGTGAGCCCCAATCGCTCTCTGACATCCATCCTTACTCCTGGTCATCAAGTGGGGGTTACATCTACAATAGAACTGAGGGTGGAAAAGCCAGCTGATGAGGAGTTGCCTTCCTTATTCCCCAAACAAGTGGGGAAGGTGGGGCAGAGCAGCTTGCTTTAATTGCAAGAGATTTCGATCTTTTGTTTACATTGTTGGGGGAGTTCTTTCAGCGGTTGTCTTGATTAAAGTTAGCAGTGGTTTGTTTTGTCTCACTTTCTGGATACCTTCCCCACTGGTGGCATAAATAAAGAAATAAATGAATGTCACCGCTCTCTGCACCACTATGAGGGGGGGGGGAGCAGGTTCTGCCGCTGGTCCCTGGTGGGCCTACAAAACTGCAGCTGATTATCTAAACTATCAGTGGTTGTAGCATCAGGAAGTTACTAGGGCTTGCCCAGAAATTGCCATTTCATTACATGCAACACTGTTTTTCTGGGGAGAATCCACTTATGCCTCGCTGAAGTTATAATCTGATATTGCCTTACTACTAGATGCCATCTAGTAGTACGGCAATACTACTAGATGGCATCTAGAACTACTAGAGTTCTATTGGCATACCACGAACCAGAACCTGGCGCCCTCTAAAGAGACGCAGGAAGCAGTGTACTATGAATTTATTCATGTCTGCCACCAACAGAGAAGCACCCGGAAAGTTAGTAAAAAACAGACTGCTGCTTGCTATAAGTGAGATTGCAGGCTCAGAACTGCCAAAAGAACTTCCCAACAATGTAAAGCGATTGAAAGTACTTGAAACTAGTGCTAACTTGCATGCCCCATTTGCCCGTTGTTTGAGGAGGGAGAAGAGGGAGGCAGCCCAAAATAAGTCAGCTACTTCACCCTTAGTTCTGTTCTAATGATAGGAGTGTGAAGTGTCACTCTGCCACTTTTTAAGAATCATATTGATGTGAGACATGTTGAAGTGTGAACATTACATTTATATGTAATGGATATTTAGACTTAATTGAATCACTATTTATTTTATTAAAATTTTGAACAAAAAAATAAGCCATTTCTTCCATCAGTTAATGCTGCTTGAAATTAAATCACATTGAGTGGTAAAATGTATTGCAGTATGCAAAATATTAGTGATTATTCATATTTTAATTACATACATTTATTCCAGGCTTATGTGACTATATGTGATTTGTTGATCATCTTTAGTAAGCAGTTGACATCAAATAATGCACTAGCCCCTTTAGTCTACGAACCAGATCGAGGACTTCAGCATTTGCTTAACCACTTTATTCAAACTTATGTTTTTATTGATGATGAAGATGGTAATGTATATTTACACATTTGTTGGTACTTTGGCATTATTTAAACTATTTCTTTTGAATATGGTGTCTTAATAGCAACCATTAGACTGTTTAAGAAGCTCATGCAATACTGGGACTTAGAGAAGATGTGGAGTTCTCTAAACATTTATACATAAATGCTATATACTGTACTACAAAATCATGTATTGTACCACTGAAAATTGGTTATGCATGGTAAAATAATTGTATTTTTTAATTTAACAGAGGAACAAGATGAGCATGTCAAGATTGAGGAATTACATAAACGTAGGAATTTCCTGGCTACATTTTGCAAGTTGATAGTCTATAATGTTCTTCCAACAAAGGTTGCTGCAGATGTTTTTAAACATTATGTCAGAGTAAGTTTCAATAACTATTAAGATGAAAAGTTTGTGAAAATATGTATGAGAATTTTATACTGCATACTTCTACACTATTGATCCCTTTCCATGTTATTTACTTTCATTAAATGTAAAGTGGCATGCAATTGTTCCCAATTATTTATGCTTATCTAATTCTTGGAATTAAATTTCATCGTCCTTCTTTGTACGCAATGAAGAGAACTTGTCTATTCTATAGTACGGAGACCAAAACCGAACTGCATAATCTGAGTGTGGCTCTAATAAGGGCAAGATAATGCTGAAAAATAATAATGCATGTCTTATTGCTAACACTTTTAGATATGAATCCTGGTACATGTATTCATTTTACCTTATTTCAAGTATTTATAATTTTTCAGCTCAAAATACCTACTTATTATGAGCTCCCAGATCTCACTAACATTAAGGCCTTTTCCTTGGGTTCCATCTTTTCTTCCTTGGTAGCGGGCATGGATGAGGCCTCGGCCCCAGTGCCTTTGCTTGCAATTCCCAGGACTTGGGGGAGTCCAATTTGAGCTATAGGGCTCTTTGAGACCCTGCATGGGCTCTTGTGCCTTCTCCACAGGGTCTGCTTTTGTAGGAGTTTTTGTATCCCCCTTCCCTTTATTGGTTTGAGTTAGGTGGGGCTTTCCCCAGGGTTCGTTTCTGGGTGTCTTTGGGCTCCCTAGATTCTATTTTCATGTGGTTTCCCTTCGTCTCGTGTTTCTCCTTCAGAAGCTTGAGAGGCCGTCGGCATTTACCTCCTGCATTTATGCCTCGGGTGGATCCAGCCTCTTTTGAGTTCAGTTCTTTTTCCCCTTATTGGGTCCGTTATAAAAATCCAGAGTCGTCTTGGCTAGCGGACTATCGTTTGGTTTCACTTGGGGCTTGGCGTAGCTTTTGTCATACCCGCACAGTTGATTGGTGGGAGGTGTCCTCTGTGTTGCAGCTATTTTTGGGAGGCTCTCTGGAGTCCCTCAATGAGTGCCTCTTCACCACTGCCATTCCCTGTGATGTGGGTATTGTGCATCTGCACACTCTGGGGCCCCTTCTTCCAACTGCCTTAGTGGCTGACGATTTTTGGACTCGTGCACACTCGGCTTTCGGAGGACGTGAGGGCCCTTGGTGAGGGGGGCCTCTTGCTGGGGTTTTTGTCCCAGCTGCTTCAACATCTTTTGCCTTGCTTATGCTCCGATCCTCTGGGAGGCAGTTATTATATTTTTCACCTCCCCTCTCATGTGTTGGTGGGATGTGCTGGCTGTTTGAATTTGGCATGGGCCCTGGCTCTTCTTTCAGCTTCCCCATTTTGTCCTTTACTTTTTCCTGAGGATAGTATTGCACAGTTTTTGTCGGCGGCATCTGCTAGTTGCTGTCCTATCTCTGACTTGTTGTGTGTTCGTGGGAGTTGTTCTCATCCTTCTCAGAAGGGGTCAGGCCACGGCTCAGTCTGCTTTGTGTCAAGATGGGCCCATGGTGTCAGCAGCCGAGTCGGCAGTTATTATCCAGGCAGTGTCTTCTTCATCTGGTCGGCGGGGTTTGCTCAATGCTCAGAAGACTGGCTTTTGGGTAGCCTTGGAGGGGTCCCCATCCACCTTTGAGGGTTCGGGCTTGGTGGGGCAGGTCTTCTCCTTCCCTCCATCATGTCATATCAGAGATAGTTTACTTGGGAATGGTCGAAACGATCTCGGCTCTTCAATGGGTTTTCCGCCTGTTTCTGGTCCCGAAACAGGACTGTGTTTCTCTGGTACATTCTGGATTTGTCTCATCTGAACCAGTTGACTCCTTGGCTGCTCTTTTTGGATGACTAGGTTATACCCGGTCCAACTCATACTCTAACCATCAGTCTATATAGCTTTTGAGGACAAGAAAAGTAGAAAAAAAAAATGAGACAAAAAGAAAGAGGTTTCAAAAGGTGGAACAGAGAGGATGAACGGTACTGTAACTGGCTGGAAGAACCACCCCGCAACAGAGAAGGACCTGCCTGAAAAACCTCCCAGTCAAAATATACCAAATTCAGTAGCCTCATTTTCTTTCCCAACATACAGGACATAAACAAAGCCAAAAAACAAAGTACCATACATAAATGGCCTTCTTACAGAGGCAAATGCAGTATTTAGAGCATTCACAGAAACCCATGCAGGGGAATTCTTGGATAGTGAGATCTGGATACCAGAATATAATCTATACAGATGTGAAAGGATAAAATAGGTCACCTGGAGGAGTAGGTTTGTATATTAATTAAGAGAGGACCTTGTATGCTCAGAGATCCTTAACTCTACAAATGAGGTGGTAAAAGTACTGGGAGTAAGGATAGAGAAAATAAAGTTATTATTCTAATATACAAACTGCCAGATGCAGTTTGTATATATGTATATGCAGTTGAGGAATTTACAGAACAAATAAACAAAATAGAGAATAACCTTGACAATCTGGCAAACCCAATTCCTGACATTATCTTCCTAGGAGACTTTAACCTGCCCAGACTAGGATGGAGAATAGCAAACAATAATAATAATCTAGAAACTCTATCTTGAAATACCCAACTTGGGCTGCTCCAAGCAACAGCCTGTTGGACCCAGCTCTCACAAGTCAAGCCTGACCTGGGCTGGGCTTGGGGAGTAGAAGAACTCCCAAAACCCCATCTAGGTATAATCTTTTTTACTGGCAGGGGTCTTCTATGACATCAATAATTGTAGATATTTATTTCATCATCATTAAGTGATGGTGTGGGCACAAGCTGCTTGGCAGTGTTGTGAGCTGCTGCATTTTGTTACCCATGGTTGCTGTGTTGGTACCTAGGCGAGATTGGCCATGTTTTTTTCCAAGATGGTGTCTGTTTACTGGAGACCTGAGGAAGTGGATGTAAACCCTGTGTACCTACAGGAGTTATCAATTTTATGTGAGACCTAAAATCAACTCTGCTTAATATGTGCACCACCACATATCGGCACAAATTCATAAATAACAAATTGCAGGTAAAGGATAATATTCATAGGTTGAAAATGGGAAATAGATTCATGGAAAATGAAAAGGATATGTATGAATAAGATTTCCAGAGAACAACATAGAGCACATAGAGGTGTCTAGAGGCGAAGTGGGAAAAATGCTCAAGGAGCCAAGTAGGAACAAAGCAGTTTGTCCAGATGGAGTTTCACCATGGGTTCTGAGGGAATGTGTACCTGAGCTCAGCATTCCAATTCAACTGATTTTTCAGGCATCCCTGTGTACAGGAGTTGTAGCTGATGTGTGGAAAATGGCTAACATAGTTCCAATCTACAAAAGTGGCAGCAGGGAAGACCCCCTTAATTATAGACCTGTATCATTGACAAGTGTAATAGTCAAAATATTGGAAAAAATTATTAAAACTAAATGGGTAGAACACCTGGAGAAAAACTATATAATATCAGACAGTATGTTTTTTGATTTGGAAGATCCTGTGTAACAAATTTACTCAGTTTCTATGATCGAGCCACAGAGATTTTACAGGAAAGAGATGGTTGGGTTGACTGCATCTATCTGCAAAATCTTAAGCCTAAAAAAGGCTTTTGACAGAATTCCACATAAGAGGTTGTTCTGGAAACTGGAATATATTGGAGGGGGGGACAGGTAAGCTTCTAACTTGGATGAAAAATTTCCTGACTGATAGAAAAATGAGGGCAGTAATCAGAAGCAATATATCGGATTGGAGAAATGTCACAAGTGGAGTACCACAGGGTTCAGTTCTTGCACTGGTAATGTTTATTGTTTACATAAATGATCTACTAGAATACATTATTATATGAACATGTTTCATGATAATGCTAAGATAATAGGAAGGATAAGAAGCCTAGACGATTGTCATGCCCTTCAAGAATTCAAGAAGACCTGGACAAAATAAGTATATGGAGCACCACTTGGCAAATGGAATTTAATGTGAATAAATGCCATGTTATGGAATGTGGAATTGGTAGAACATAGACCCCACACAACCTATAAATTTTGTGAGAAATCTTTAAAGAATTCTGATAAAGAATGGGATCTAGGGGTGGTTCTAGATAGAAAGCTGTCACCTGAGGACCACATTAGGAACATTGTGTGAGGAGCCTATGCTACACTTTCTAACTTCAGAATTGCTTTTAAATATATGGATGGAGAAATAGTAAAGAAATTGTTCACAACTTTTGTTAGACCAAAGACAGAAAGACAAGAGCTACGAGGAGAGGTTAGAGGCATTAAATATGCAAAAACTAGAAGATAGAAAAAGAAGAAGCGATATGATCACTACGTACAAAATAGTTACAGGAATTGATCAAATTGATAGGGAAGAATTCCTGAGAACCGGAACTTCAAGAACAAGATGTCATAGATTTCAACTAATGAAACAAAGCTGCCGGAGAAATGTAAGAAAATTCACATTTGTTAACAGAGTGGTAGACGGTTGGAACAAGTTAGGTGAGAAGGTGGTGGAGGCCAAAACTCAGTAATTTCAAAGCATTGTATGACAAAGTGTGCTGGGTAGATGGGACACCACAAGCATAGCTCTCATTCTGTAACTACACTTAGATAATTAACAGTGAAATGACCTAGTTTATATGCACAGTTGAAGGATTAAAGAACTAATATAAACTAATCATTTCATGATGTATATAGAATTTTTCACACCCTTAGCATTGTCAACAGAGTCTAGAGCTATCCTAGATCAAAATCACTGCAAACACAGCTCATACATCAAAGATCTGACTAATAGAACTCAAAATGTTTATCCGTATTCAATGTCTTTGTGACTAGTTCCTTCTTAATTCCAAATATCAAGCTGGGGTTCTTGCTTCTTTGCTCATTACCTGTTTCATTTTATCCTTTAGACCTGCTGCATCATTATATACATCATTCATTTCTAAGTTGTATTTCCTAATAATTAAGTTGATACTTCTGGAAAATTTGGAGAGGCCAGTGACAAGTAAGTACTTAAAAAAAATTTGATTGAGTATGCTGAATGGGTGATTCCCTTCAGACAAAAGGATACAATTCATTTGTGAATAATTTTTTTTACTTATTTATGTGCTCTCCCAATATGCTGAATTATTTCGTGCTTTCATTTGGGTCTGCAATAGTCAGCATGAAAATGATCAGCAATGAAATATTTGTAATGATGTAGTATTTGGGAACTTGTTCTAATTAATATATATATCTGTATTAAAGTGTGCCCCTTATCGAAAAGATAAATAGCTAATATAATATATAAAAAATCCTTTGCTTCTTATTTTAAGTACTATGATGACTATGGTGACATCATCAAGGCAACTTTGGGTAAGGCTCGTGAGATAAATAAGGTCAACTCAGCAAGGACAATGGCCTTGGCTCTCAATATAATCTTCAGAGACCTTCAGAAAGATAATACCAGAATCAACAGGCAAAGTGTAGATTTCATCAGTTTAAAGGTAAGAACCCTTTTTCCTATTATGGTTCAACATTATTATTTATTACCTATATTGTATGAGAGTTTTATGTTGCAATTATGTAGTGTAGTTCCCTGGAGGTCATTATGGGTACTTAATGCTTTGTTACTGGAATTGTCATCAGTGTAAAGATGCATAACCTTCACTGAATTTAATGCAAATATAAACAAGTACAGTATGTAACACAAAGACTGACATTGCATAAAACATGCTCAGCCAAAGAAATTTTAGGCTTGTAATTTTAATTAGATCTGTGCCTGTTCACAGACTTGGAGCGTTCCTTTTCCACAGCACATAAGTTTTTGCCTACTAGTTTTCTTTGTAACATAATCTGCTAATAGATTTACAACCAGGTTCCAAATTAATGCTTGATGAACAGGGGCAAACGGTTAAGGACTGATACCCTTTCATCCCTCACTGACCAGGGCTTGTATGTAATTGAAGCCACTAATTGTGTGTTGAGGGTTGGGGCTTCATTGACTGACCCTTTGTGAACTGTTTACATCAAATGATATAAAGTCATCAATGTCTTATTGTTAGATCAACCCCTGCACTGACCATCTGTTTCATTTGACAATTTTGTGGCACAGTTGTTCATGAATTATTGACATTACCTGAACATTTTTAAAAACTAGAAAAATCTAAAAATATTGCCAAACAGATTGCAATGGTGATACTTTTCAAGACTCTAGTGCTCTCTAAGGTAGAATATTGTTACACTCTAACAGCCCCATTCAGAGCCGGAGAAATTGGTGACCTAGAGAGAGTGCAAAGTTCCTTTACTGCTAGAATCCACTCTATAAGTCATCTTAATTATTGGGACTGATTAAAAGTTCTAAATCTGTATTCTCTAGAGCGCAGGTGAGAGAGATGCATAATAATCTACTCGTGGAAGGTATTAATTTTAACACTTTGATGCTATGGGCGCACATGCGCCACACTACCCCAGGTGGGTTTGGGCATTCCGCGGGAGCGCGTGGTAATTCTGAAAAGTGTATAATCTTTTCAACTTTGTTACCTTAATTCTCGTCCTAGGTTTTTCAGTTTATCATTGTATTCGCAATAGAATTCTCTACAGGACTAAAGGCATATAAAGTCCAAATGCCCAGCGTACCATCCACAACAAACAGAGAAAGTGAGAGCGTGTTACCAGGGAGCGCGCAAGACCGATAAAATGTGTACACTCCTTTCACTTTGGTCACCTCAATTCTTGTCCTAGGTCTTTCATTTTGGTATTAATGTGTTCGGAATAGAATTTCCAACAGGAATATATGCATATAATGTCAAAAACAGCAGCTCACTCCACCCACCGCCAAGATGAAAGTTACCAGAAAGAGAGCGCTGCATCACCCCAAGGTGCCTCTCATTACAATAGAGAGTGCGGTCATACCAAAATATGTATACTCTTTTCAACTTTGTTATCTCAATTCTGGTCCTAGGTCTTTCATTTTGGTATCAATGTATTCACAATGAAATTCCCTACAGATGTATATGCATATAATGTCCAAAACTGCGGCGTGCCCCCTTCCGAAGCTGCCGCCAATTTGCCGCCGGAAACAACGCAATGCTGTGTCGTTACCGGACTACCCCCGAGTAAAAAAACGATGCAATGCTGCGTCGTTACCGAGCAGAAGTGTTAAGAGGGACTGGTCCCAAATCTGAACACAGAAATTACAGAAATAACATCACATAAGACCAGTAGCCATGGCAGGATATGCAAAATACCCCCTGTTGAAAAGCAGAGGTGCATGCAGTAGGTACGTACGATAGGGAAAACTCTTATCAACTTCAAAGGCCCAAGACTTTTCAACTCTCTCGCTACACATAAGGAACATAACTGGGTGGCCTCTCACGATGTTCAAGAGAGAGCTTGACAAACACCTCGGAAGAATACCTGATCAACCAAGGCTGTGATTCGTGTGTCAGGTTTCGAGCAGCCGCATCCAACAGCCTGGTTGACCGGGTGACCAACCGGGCTGCGGGGTCGTTGATCCCCAGAAGTTACACAAGGTAGACACAAAGGTAGGTAACTTAATAATTTTCATTGCTAATCACAAAGTGAAAAAATGTCTAATACAGTACAATGGAACTTTGGTATGCAATTTCCCCTGAGTCTTTAGTTGTATGGTGACAATTTTGTTGTAAAATTTTCTCTGGTGTACGACATTCTCTCCGGAGTATGAAGCGCTTGCTTTTTTAGTATCCGCTCAATTGAATTAATAACCTATGTAAGCAGTCCCCATAGCGTAGTGGTAAAGCACTCACCTGGCACTTCGTGAGCACTTTGGCCTGGGTTCGTATACTGGCTGGGAAGGATTTACCGGGTGCCAATCCTTAACTGTTGACCCACTGGTGAATGGGTACCTGGTTGTTAAACAATTTGGCTGGTTGTATTCCAGGGGAAAAAATTTGGATTAAGGACCGACCAAAAAATTCTATGCATGCTAGTGACTTTACAAGAATGTAAGAACTCTTGTATATATAAATAAGAAAAAAAATAGGGCTATGCCCAAGTCATTAAATCCGTTTTTTTAAAATGACACTAATTTTTTAAGTCATATTTGGGAGGGCAATATAATTAATGGTGAATGGGCAGGAAGAATGAATGACTGGCTGGCTGGCTGGCTGGCAGGCAAGTGGGAGGGAAGGAGGTAGGTGGGAGTGAAGGGGAAGGTGGTTGGGCAGGCAGGTTGGCTAGGATGGATAGATAGATAAGGTTAAATTTACATAACTCAACAAAATTAATATATATCACATTAAATACAAATTATGTAGAAGCAAATCAAAGTACTGCTGGACTGCAGAAAATATTAATCGATGTCATGAAGATCTTTTGTAGAACTGTCACTTGGTTTACCCATATTATGTATAGTGTACATCATAAAGGGGATTCTATTGTGTTCAGCACTGTTAGGAACCAGAGATTAATACTGCACCAGTATTGAGAAATTCATCTCCAACATTGGGTGATATAATTGTTTAAAATGTTCAAAATATTGTGGTGTATATGTTGCTTGGTAGAAATGATAGTTAAAACAGATCAATAAAAGTGTTCATAGATTTCTGTTCTTAATGGTGTTTGTGTTTAAGTAAAAGTAGTTTTAAGTGGTGTTTAAGTTAAGTAGTTAAGTTTAAGTAATCTCTCACTATGTTTAATAATAAAGTACAAATTAAATTGAAATTACAGGAGCTAGCAAAGAGATTTGCTTTGTCATTTGGTCTTGATGCTGTAAAGAATCGTGAAGCCATCACTGCTCTTCATCGTGAGGGTATACTGTTTGCTGTTAACCCACTGGAGAATCCAGTGGACCCCACAGGTGCTCCACCTAATCTGGCCTTCCTTGAAATACTAACAGAGTTCACAAATAAACTTCTTAAGCAAGACAAAAGAGTAGTGTAAGTACTATATTAACTCGTCACTATTACTATACTATAACTAAAATTAAATGAATATTAAGTAGAAAAAATACAATAAAATTTTTTTAAATGATTGGTAAACTTTTTATTTTGTAGTTTAAATTGTTTATTTTTAGATACCATGGTTATCAAAACTCTATGAAACTAAAAAAATTTAACTTCATTATTTGTGGGGAGCCCCATCAGCTCCCTGAAGCTGCATGATGGGAGGGCAATATAATTGATGGTGGAGGCTGAAGCTGTCATACTGATAACACTTCCGCATCCTGTATGTTTATACAGTGTACACTGTTTATACAGTGTAAGAACACTGTATAAACATCAGAGGTCCGCGGTTGTTCAATGTCCTCCCAGCGACTATAAGAAATATTGCTGGAACAACTGTGGACATCTTCAAGAGAAAACTGGACTGTTTTCTAAGAGAAGTTCCGGATCAGCGGGGCTGTGGTGGGTATGTGGGCTGGTGGGCCGCTCCAAGCAACAGCCTGGTGGACCAAACTCTCACAAGTTGAGCCTGGCCTCGGGCCAGGTTTGGTGAGAAGAAGAACTTCCAGAATCCCATCAAGCAGGTCCTAATGATGCATTATGTGACACAAAACCTAAACATGCAGAGTTGACGATGACACAAACATCATCATGCAAAAATTTCTGGGGGAAGCCCCGTTGGCTCAAGGCTGATATGAATATATTAGCTTTCTGGCATCAGTCAATGTGCATGGGGTTCTTGCCTACCGGGGACCACGCTAGTAAACCACGCGCCAGAACCTGCCCCTCCCCCTCAGAGAGGCACGAGGATCAATGGCTTACACACAATGGCTTACGAGGAGTACACACTCGCACCCTTTCCTGTCTTGGGTCTAGATTCACGAAGTAGTTACGCAAGTACTTAAGTACTTGCGAATGTGTACATCTTTCCCCAATCTTTGACGGCTTTGGTTACATTTATTAAACAGTTTACATGCATGAGAATTTCCCAGTCAACTGTTGTTATTGTTATAAATGGCCTCTTGGTGCTTCAGAGCTCATTAACTGTTTAATAATTGTAAACAAAGCCGTCAAAGATTGAGAAAAGATGTACAGGTTCATAAGTGCTTGCGTAACACTTTCGGGAATCTGGCCCTTGATCTCTCTCGGCTTGTCTTTTCTTTATTTGGACTTCACCTGGCAGGTTCTTGATGATCTACATAACAGTAACCATTTCCCCATCTTTGTCACCTTCTCATTTTGCCCTTCTCTCTCCTTCCCTAGGTGATAGTTTGCCAGGACTGACTTGAACCTCTTCACCTTGCGTGCCACTCTTTCTGACCTCTTTGATCTGCCTCTTCCTCGAGCCCTCCTCTGTCATGACACTGTTTTTTTTATGCTGCCCTCTGCTCTGTTCCTCGCTCTACCTCCAGGGGTGCACAAAGGTTTATTTCCTGGTAGAATGCAGACTGTGCTTGGGCTGGCCACTGTAATTTTTCTGTCTGGAAGAAACACTGTTGCCATAGGATGCCCGTTTCTTTTGTTTCGGAAGGCAAGTGCAATGGCCCGTACGGCTAAACGTGAGGGTTGGAGATTTTTACTTCCACCATTATGTCTGATACTCCTCTGCTCCTGATCTAAAAGAAAATCTGCAAGATAGCGGGTAAGTTTGTTTCAGATGTCTCGCCAGTCCTTCACTTCCGTGGTTCTATTGTGGTGGATCCAGTGTTGGTCGCGACCGAACTGGGTTCTCACTTTTCGTCTGTTGGCTCCGGCTCTCATCTTCCTCCTCCTTTCCTTTCTCATACACCACCTCTTGAATCTTTTCCCTTAGATTTTTGCCCTTCTTTTCGGCTTCCCTATAACTATCCTTTCTCTCTCTCTCGGAACTCCAATCTGCCCTGGTCCTCTGCGGTTCTACAGCGGCGGGCTCAGATGATATTCATTATGAGATGTTTCGCCATTTCCCTTCATGCACGTTTCGGTATTTACTGAGTGTTTATAATCGTGTATGGGAGGCGTTGTAAGTCCCTGAGGATAGACTTGAGGCGGTTGTTTTTCCTATTTCTCTAGGAGTCATCCCCTAAAGACTTCCGCCCCATTGCTTTCATGAGTTGCATCTGCAAACTATGGTCCATGTCCGTCTGATGTGGTTCTTGGAACACTATCACCTCCTTCCCTTTTCAATTTGGCTTTTACAAGTCTTGCAGCATGATTGATGTCCTCGTGAACTTGGAAGTCTATATTCGTACTATCTTTGCTGTGACGACCTCCGTTGTTGCTGTCCTTTTTGACCTGGAAAAGGACAGGACCACCTGGCTATACCATATTCTGTCCCAACCTCATTCCTTTGGCCTTTGTTGTAATCTCTCTCTCATCCTAGAGCTTTCTTTCTTGTCATTCTTTGAGTGCGGCTTGGTACAGCTCTCTCTGCCTCTTTTTGGCAATATGAATATGTGCTCCAAGGTAGCGTTCTGAGCTCTACTCTTTTTCCTGGTTGCCCTCAATGGTTTTCTTTCCTCCCTTCCCTATGACATTTTCTCCGCTATTTATGTTGACGATCTTGCCTTCTGCTGTCAAGGTAATGACTCTTCTTTCCTCCAATGGCGGCTTCAACTTGCGAACTTGCGATTGATGCCGTGTCGTCCTGGGCTACTAATCATGGCTTCAAGTTTTCTCCGGCTAAAACTTGTGCTATGACCTTTACTCAGAAGCAAGTCATCCTTCGACCCCCCCTCTGTCACTTTATAGTAATCCTCTTTTGTATAAGGATTCTACTAAACTTCTGGGGTTAATCGTTTACACTCATTTGTCCTGGTCACCCCATATCTCCTACCTCCGAGTTGAATGCTCTAAGGCCCTTAACTTACTTAAGATCTTTCCCATACTTCCTGTGTAGCTGATAGGCTCACACTCTTTACATTCCTCTCTCCTACTGTCTAAACTCGATTATGGCTGTCCTGCTTACTTGTCTGCCTCTCCCTCCACCCTTTGTTGTCTTGATGCTCTTCACCATTCTGGACTCCTTAGTTTTGGTGCCTTTCATTCGACCCCCTACCTAGAGCCTGTATGTTAAGACCGGCATTCTGTCTCTACAGGATTGCGGTGATCACTGCTGTCTTTGCTACTTTGCGTGGTCCCTGCAACACCCTCACTCTCGCTTATGTCGTACTTTGAACATTACCCCTCCTGTAAGCCCTGTTCCCTCTCACCACCTTCCCCTTTCTGTACAGGTGTCTCACTTGCAAGGTTCCCTCTCGGTTCGTGTAGCCAATGTTTCTCCTCGTGTCATTCTGTCCATGCCCCGATGGAGAGTCCCTCTTCCTGAGTTTTGTAGAACTTTGACCCACATGACTAAGGCTTTTACCTCTCCTATAGTTCTAAATCACCTTTTCCTTGCTCACTTCTCTTCACACACTCCTGCTCCATCTCTGTCTTTACGGGTGGGTCTGCTGATGGTGTAGGCTACTCCGTTGTGTTTCCTGACTGCACCTATATGTGTCGCCTGCCTATGGAGACTAGCATCTTCACAGCTAAACTTTATGCAGTTTTGTTTGCTCTTTGTCAACTGCTTTCTCACCGTAATTCTTCCTTTGTTGTTGTAGTTGACTCTCGCAGTGCCCTCATGACTCTGGAGTCCTTTAACAAATAAATAAATAAATATATATATATATATATATATATATATATATATATATATATATATATATATATATATATATATATATATATATATATATATATATATATATATATATATATATTTTTTTTTTTTTTTTTTTTTTTTTTTTTTTTTTTTTTTTTATATATATATAATAGGGAAGGGAGTACCACCTCTGGCTGGAAGAAGGGGGACCCATAGCCTCGGAGGAAACCACACAACGCATTGGAGGGAATGTAGGTTCCCTCCAATACAGTTTGTGTGCTTTTCTCCTACCACCCCCTTCCTTTTTAGTTGATTTAGTCTATACTACAATAAATAAATAAATATATATATATATATATATATATATATATATATATATCTTTATATATATAACCTATCTTTATAGGTTAGGTTAGGTTAGGTAGCCGAAAAAGTTAGGTTAGGTTAGGTAGGTTAGGTAGTCGAAAAAAAATTAATTCATGATAACTTGGCTTTTTAGGCAAATCGGGCCTTGCATAGTAGGCATAGAAGTGCGTTCTGGCTACTAGGTACGACATATATATATATATATATATATATATATATATATATATATATATATATATATATATATATATATATATATATATATATATATATATATATATTTTTTTTTTTTATTTATTTATTTATTAGAGGACTTGTAATAATATTTATTAAAGGTATTACAGAAGAGCTTGAGTGTGATAATGACTGTGTACAATGTTCATATATCAGTAAATCAATGCTGTTCACGATGTTCACAGCGCTAGCCACAGCACCACAACATTGTTTCGTCCATCTTGGAGTCTTCAAAGAACTTCTTATGTTACTTTACAAAATAAACTTGTGGTCAATTATTCATTTACAGGATTTAGTGACCAGGATTGTGATAATAGCAGGATTATGGTGATAATTAGCAATGTGTGTGTAGTATTGTGGGAGGAGAAAGTTTGGTGAGGGAGGGAATCCAGATAGCATCACTGTGTGTGGCAGCCACTCTTGTTTTGCTCATCGTACCAGCTTAGCGGTTTGCTATGGTGAACACATATGTACATGGTATATACAATGTGTGTGTATATAGTGTAATAACAGCAACAGGAGTATGTTGGGAAGAGCCTTTTTGGTGAGGGTGGTGGCGTCGTACTCGTAGCGTCGTCTGCTGTGTGATTTCTCATGCAGTGTATGGTGGCTTCTGTGCTGTTTGGACACAATACCAACTTACTTGCACAGTTATGGTGAATAAAACATGTAGATACGTACAAATAACGTGTGTAAATAGTGTAATAAAAATAATAACAGTTTAGTTGGAAGAGTAAGCTAGGTGTTGGAGAAGTGAGTGAGGGCTGGCTGGCTGGGTGTGGCAGCTCACTCTCGCAGAGTTCTGAGTGTTTTGATGGTGAATGTATATAGTGTGTGGTAGTGTATAGTGTGTAAATATACATAAATGAACATGAAACATTGAATATATGAGCAATATATGTGGACACATTTGAGATACATAACACAGTGTCTTAAAACAGTATGGATGTTCAACTGCCATAATATTGTGTACATGTTCGTTATACATAGATTTGGCAAGAAAAAACAAAGCAAAAATGTATTTGGAAATGTACGCAAAAAATGAACAAAAAAATATCTGTGACAACTGGCGCTTGTTGAAGCTGGCGAGTGACTGCCCCCGGGAGTCTACGCCACAGGCGACCACTAAATCGTGACGTCAAAAGTCATTTTCTGGACCCCCATTGCGGCAAAAGTAAGTACAGGGGTATCTCGGTTTAAGAGTTTAATCCGTTCCTGGAGACAGCTCGTAACCCGAAAACTCATAAACCAAAGCTAATTTCCCCATAAGAAATAATGGGAAATGAATTAATCCGTTCCTGACTACCCAAAACCTCACTTCAAACTAAATTTTATTTCTAATTCATCCAAATCTATACTACAAAAGTATGTTCAAGTTATTACTTACCCTTGCTGATGACACCTGTTGGCGTATGGAAGATGGTGAGGAGGAGGGAGGAGGAGAGGTGTTACTGTTTGGAAGGGGAGTCCGCTTCCATTATAACATCAGGCAGTAAAGATTTTTCTGGAGTGCACTATCTGTCACGTTTTGCCTGCATACCACTAGGCCCTGGTTGTGAGAAAATCAAGCAGTGAGCCACAACGAAACGAATCATTGAGGATTGTTTTTCCCTTCTTTTCAACACTTGTTTGTAGTAAGACATCACATTGTCATTTAAAAGGTCAGTGCAACGGCCTGCTCCAGCTTTATCTGGGTGAGTTTTTTCAACAAAACTTTGCAGTTCTTTTCATACTTCACACATTTTCTTAATGAGGAAGGGATATCCTATACTGCCTCTACTCAACTATTTTCTTAGGTTGAAACTTACCACTGACTTTCTTGGGACCCATGGCGAGATATATAAAACAACTTTTATGCTCAAATGGTAAAAAATCCTACAAAAACTGTAAATCTTTGTGAAGAATTCAGGTGGGATAGTCACTGGGTGCGAGGCTCTGGTAAACTGAGGGGTGATCGCCGTGCCACCACGCACTAGGTCAGCCTGTACGCGTATCAACACCCTCATATTCCGAGGCAACGCTCGTATCCCGATCAAAATTTTCCGAGCAAATCCTACTTGTAACCCGAAAAACTCGTAACCAAGGACGCTCGTAATCTGAGGTACCACTGTTCATTATTATTTTTTTTTTTTTTTTTTTTTTTTTTTTTACATATCTGTGATCAGGGAAGGGTATTTAACATTTTCAACAAAAAGAAAAATTTAACTGAGAATTTATTTCCTGCGCACAGGAAGGGGGGTGGGTTCCGTATTTAGAAGGCGAGCAGCACAGTGGTTAAGAGCTACCCTTGCATGGTCAGTGTTATCTTCCCTGGGGGTGTTCCGGACACACCTTTTAAAAGGCGAGCAGTGCAGGGGTTAAAAATAAATCCATAACTTGCTGTTGAAATTCATTATGGGATGTAGGTGATATGTAATAACACACATGGTGCTGATAACCCCAATCTCACCTGCAATGTAGGAGATTTTATCCCCACAAAGAACACAAACAGTCTAGGGTTTGTTCATGCTTTTTTCTGTATTTTATCAAGAAGAATTGTATGAGTGTAATGTACCTCCATTTTTCTTTTCAATACTTTATAGCCAAGTACAATGCCATATTTTTTTCAGGCTTGCATATTTGGATCGTCGTATTGCTGCAGGGATGCCTAGTTCCCGTGGTGAAGATTGGCAGCCTTTGCTTATGTACCGCAATTCCTTGGTGCATGGAGAGGGTGATCAGCCACCACAAACATCTAAGCGTGCATATACACGGAAACGCAAACATGGTGAGTGATTTGTATGCTAGACTTGAGAGAATCTCATGACATGAGTAATTAAGAGATAAACACTGCTAGTTCAATTTGCACTGAGCAGAAATGCTGTGCAAATTGAATTACAGTACTTATGTTTGCAGAGAATGAAGACAGACCGAATTGTCGTCTTTCTCCACGTTCTTGTGTGGGGTTTGGTCATCAATACCACCTCATGCATGCCTTTAGGCGGCCTACACAGTAACTGTTGGCTTACAGTGTCAGCCCAGCCAAAGATTTGCTAGCTAAGTAAGGGGCACATTCATTATTTCTCAATAAATGACTTAGTAAACTATAACCTGATTATGAGCGGTAAACAAAATTAAACATCAGCGAAAGTCGTGCCATTGGCTGTACATTGATCCATAGACTAATGCAGTTATCATCATATGTTGATTTTAGTTATCACCACCTATGTTTTTGTACAAATGTTGTAACTATGGTTATAATACATCTACATGGATGTAATGAAATTGACGTAGACCTTTGAACAAAAATTTAGTCATTTTTAACTAATCATTAATCAATGGGGTTAATAATTACTAACCATAATAGTGTGATGATCTGTAAGTCATGCTAACTGATTACTAACCATTACTAACTGATAATCATCTTGCTTGTACCACAAGCAAGATGATTATCATCAAATCACAACTAATTTATTTCCACCTGTGTTTGAATAAAATTCAAATAGGATAGGAACAGATTTATGTGCAATGTTGGTGTACATATTATATTGTAGTCCTATATTCAGTCTTCAGTTGTTGTCTTTGTCAATGATGTGTAAATATATCAATGAATTGAGATGTCCAAAGTGAAGATAGTGTACACATTTTATTGCTCTTGCGTGCTCCCAGGTAACACTCATGTTCTCGCCGGGCTTTTGGGCTTTATATGCATTTAGTCCTGTAGAGAATTCTATTGCGAACACATTGATACAAAATTGAAAAACCTAGGACAAGAATTGAGATGACAAAGTTGAAAAAAGTATAAACTTTTCAGTATTACCGCTGTCTCTAATGTAATGAGAGGCACCTTGGGGTGGCACAACGCTCTCTTTCTGGTCTACTTCTATCACGTCAGTGGGTGGAGCGCGCTGTGTTTTTTTTACATTATATGCATATACTCCTGTTGGGTATTCTATTGCGAACACATTGATACCAAAATGAAAGACCTAGAACGAGAATTGAGGTGACCAAAGTGAAAAAGAGTGTACACATCTTATTGCTCTTGCGTGCTCCTGGGTAACTCGCTCTCACTTTCTCTGTTTGCTGCAAGTGGTAAGCCGGGCTTTTGGAGTTTATATGCATTTAGTTCTGTAGAAAATTTTGTTGCTAACACATTGATACCAAATTGAATATCTTAGGATGAGAATTGAGGTGACAAAGTTGAAAAGAGTATACACTTTTCAGAATTACCGCGCTCTCCCTCGCACTCCTGCGGAATGCCTAAACCCACCTGAGGTAGTGCAGCGCTCGCGGGCCCAGAGTGCGAAACTGTTCAGAACGTTGTGCGAGGAGCCTATGCCACGCTTTCTAACTTTAGAATTGCTTTTAAATGCATGGATGGCAAAATACTAAAGGAATTGTTCACGACCTTTGTTAGGCCAAAGCTAAAATATGCAGCGGTTGTGTGGTGTCCATATCTTAATCCTGTAACTACACTTGGGTAATTACACATACAAACACATGCACACACGTACGAATGCACACGTGTGTGTGTGTGTGTGTGTGTAATGTAATGTTTGCTGATGATGCAAAAATTATGAGGAGGGTTAAGTCTGAGGAAGATAGTATGAGGCTACAAGATGATGTAGACAAACTGAATGAATGGTGCAACAAATGGCTACTTCAATTCAACCTGAGTAAATGTAAGGTAATGAAACTAGGCAATGGAAACATGAGGCCAGAAACAGGATACCGAATGGGAGATGAAGTCCTTTATGAAACAAACGGAGGGATAGATCCAGGAGTTGATATCACACCAATCCTGTCTCCCGAAGCCCACATTAAAAGAATAACATCGCTGGCATATGCGAGGCTGACTAACATCAGAACTGCCTTCAGGAACCTGTGTTAGGAATCATTGAGAACCTTGTATACCACATATGTAAGACCAATCCTGGAATATGCAGCCCCAGCATGGAGCCCATACCTTGTCACGTGCAGGACTAAGCTGTAAAAAGTTCAGAGGTATGCCACTAGGCTAGTCCCAGAACTAAGAGGCATGAGTTATGAGGAAAGGCTGCATGAAATGCACCTAACGTCGCTGGAAGATAGGAGAGCTCGGAAGACATGATCACTACCTACAACATTCTAAGAGGAAAGGTATTTCCTATTAGAATTTTGGGAATTCTAAGAGGAAATAGAGAAAAGGAAAGGAATTCTAAGACAGGGTAGATAAAGATAAATTGTTGAACACAGGGGAGGGGGAGGGCTGACTCCATACACAGTTTCAAATGTAGATATGATAGAGCCCAGTAGGCTCAGGAATCTGTTCACCAGTTGATTGACAGTTGAGAGGTGGGACCAAAGAGCCAGAGCTGAACCCCCACAAGCACAATAACTGGGTGAGTACATACATATACTGTATGTGTGTATACATTATTGATGTATTTCTCTACAAAAATTACTTGAATTACTATGTTTATTATGGTAATAACAATTTGATATTTAGTGCAATTTGCGCTCAAAACTATTAATTGTAGGCAGTGCTGTACATAGTAACTTTATACTCACTATGTTTGCAAAACTAATTATAGGTTTAGGACAGTGATTTTAATATCAACATGCAGTATTATGATATTAATGTTCTTGCATATATTAATTGTACAAAAAGATATTTGGAGGAGAAAAGGTCAGGTTTGTGAGTTGAAGCTCTCCCAATTTGAGAGGGTGCACTGTACAATTAGAATATGTAGGATATTTTCTATTTTTCTAAATTACTCCTAAATTTTAACAGTGGATGATGATGATGATGAAGATGACGACGATGATATGCCATTCCAGTAAGTAATCATGATATTTCTCATATTTACAATATTAGTGTTTTGCATTTTCCTAACCATTAGTGAATCATTGAAGAAATTTTTACACTTGCATTGTAAAGTAGTGACGAACATATGGCTTCATACTGTTCGTCCATTTGTCTTTATCCCTCTCTTGTCGTGATATCATTTTAACAAACTTACGAGAAAGTTATAGTTACGATTTGTTCAAGGTTTCATTTATTTATATGTAAATTGCCAGACTATATTTTTCCGTTTAAGTTTTAATTGTAGCATGGCATTTCTTGTCAGTGTTCATTTAGTTACACTTTAAACAAAATTGTAAACTAAATTGTTTCTCACTTCCAACTAAAGCATTCTCCTTGTTACTTAAGCAGAAATATTAATTTAAAGCTAAATACAGTAGATGAAATCTTGGCAAATAAAAAGTATATCACCATTAGCAAATAAAGCACCAACAATAATGAGAAATACAGCACCAACAGTAATAAGAAAAATGTAACATTAGTATACTAATGATTAGGTAACATAATCCAGTAAATAGAAATACCATTGGCAGTTAATGTAAAATGCATGCTTTAGTAATAAATTGGTGGTAAATAGTTAAATTTTATTCTAATATTTATCGATATGGCCATAGTTAAGGCAAGTTTTTATTTTCTGGTGAAGCTCCTGCGTGGCTTCTTGTAGCTATTTTGCTGAGATTGCTCCATACTGCCATTCACATCAGTCGCAGGAGTTCTGTTTGCCCTACCTTGGGCAAACCCCCCCCCCCCCCTTCACAGAGGTGTAGAGAGCAAATGGCATTTCACTGACAAAGTATCTAGAAAGTCAGCGAAGCTTTACAGGTAACTGCTGCATTCACAAGACTTGAAGCCTCAAAAGTGCCAAACAATTCCTCAAACAATTCACACGAAACAAAATAATTCACTCGAAACTGGCTTGAGCCTGTTAGCACTAATCACTGCTATCAGGTGGCCCGGAGCTCAGTCCTCCACCAGCTCACCAGTCAGTTCTGTCACTGATGTGTTCCCTAGAGCATCACAGCAGTACTCCATAGTCACCATCTTTCGTGGTGGATCCTACTGTTTTTTAGCTAAATTCTGGCAATCGTAGGACTTGTTATGTGAAGGCTATTTACTTGTGTATTGTTCCAATGTAGTATTTGTTTCATGAGCAAGTTTTCTATCCAGTGTTGTTGTATGGACTTAGCTTTTTGCACTCTGAACTGCATGCATCCAGCAGTTACTTTCTGGGTGTTCATTGAGTGCTACCCCTTTCATTGACAGTAATTTCTTTAGTGTGTCAAGAGTTTAGGCCTGACCACTGGGGAGGAGTGCCATATTTCAGGTATTTCTAAGGTCGTTGGACTCTGTTTAGGCCCCTGGTTGGAAACATTCTAGTTGTGTTGGTGTGCATTTTGGGCTCTCATGCTTTGTTTATACAGTATGCTGTTAATGGACTAAGTATACCTAGTGATAAAGTGTACACAAAACAACCATAAAGATATAAACGACAATGGCATAAAGGCATACTCTCTTGCACTTAGCATTGCCGGGTGGGCAAATATAAGGCAGATAAGCTAGCTTCATTCTAGATTGTCAGACCCCACTCCCATCTTGGTACAATATACCGAGAAGAGACGGTAGACAATCTCCAATGATGCAGTAGTCACAGAGATTCACCAGCATCATGATTTACCGCATCAAAGTCCAGTTTCGGGGGGAAAACCAGATTCACCAGGCCCCAATTACTGAAGAAAATTGTCTGCTGTTCAGCTGTGGTCACAAGCTGAACAGCAGTGCTGTGAGCTCATGCTGCGTGCGTCAGGCTTGGTAGCTCACTCAATACTGAGGCCCTAACACCCGCGAATTTGGCCCACGATTTTTTTTTTTAAATGGCGTCTGTTTACAAGAGCCCTGATGAAGGTGTAGTGAACCCCGTGTATTCGCAGGCCGTTTAAGTCTTGCGTAGTACTCCAAAGCATCATATGATGTGATGTGCAATTTACTGCAAGTCGGTCAAAGCATCATATGATGCGATGCGCAACTTAAGGGTTAAAAAATTACGTCTGTTTACAAGAGCCCTAATGAAGGTGAGGTGAACCCCGTGTATCCGCTGGCCGTTTAAATCTTGCGTAGTATTCCAATACATCATATGATGTGATGTGCTATTTATAGCAAATTACTCAACGCATCATATGATGTGTTGCGCAGTTTAAGGGTTAAATTTAAAGTCATCAAGATTGATGACAGCCCATGGCCTACTCTTGAGGTTACCTTCTCAACAGCTGCAGCAGCGACCCAAGCAGTGGAAAATGGCTTCAGATGCTTGGACATTTCCATCACACCTGACACTGTCTAGAAGGAGCTTTACTACATCATACACAAATGCTTTAAGTGCTACAAATATGACCACGACACCAAGAACTGCCCACAAGCAGAGGCAAAGTGCAGCATTTGCACTCAAAGCCATCACTTTAAAAACTGCCAGTCACACATCAAATTGTGTCTCAAATGTGGAGGAGCACACACCGCTGTGAACTACCAAACACAAGTCGAGGAATTTAAGAAATCGGCAACTGCCATACCAACAGCCAATAAGCCGGCAAACTTCAATATCCAGGCAACGTCGTTCCCAGTGCTTCCCAACACTTCTGCTACACAGTCGCCCACACCAGGCCAGACCCCACTACCCACTGGGGACCCAGCACACAGGCAACTGCTGCTCAGCCAGCCAGCTCACCATCCAACCAATCAGCGGCCTCGGCCGCCACCACTCTTACCCCTTTTCTGATCAGTGTTTCTGAGAAGATGGCAGGGACTGACGTTGCCAAATACATGAGAGTACTGAACATGCTGCTTGCCCCAAAACGAGCTACCTACAATGTCGGTCCCAGCAGACCTACTTCAGCCTCAAAACGCTGCTTCAACTCAAACAGATCAGACCCCAACAACAACCGCAACCGAAGCAATGCCACTAACGCCTTCCCTGAAGCGGACCCAACACCGGTGTCAGCAACACCAGTGACCCAGACTTGTTAAGCCTGCTCTTACCTATTGCAAGTTTGAAGGGTGTTTGTAGCATTTGCTTCATGGCGATGATTATTCTTTATGCCCCCACCATGCTGGGTCAGTTATGCTTACGACCCTGAATCATATTGGGGATTTGTTTCCCATGGGTTCTTACCCTTTCTAATCCTGCTTTTGAGATGGAGGCATACCAGATAGCTGCTGCTTTATGGGATCGGTTTGTCCAAGTTCAGAGTACTGTATACAGTTTGCTCAGATGGGTGCCCCAGAAGTACCCCTGTTTGGGATTCACAAACAGCATCGCTTTCTCTTCCCCCCCGCAGCCTTGCTTTGGCTGCATTCACGCCATCGGCTGCTGCTGAGGGGGTCCTGGGTGACTCGGCGGATGCTTCAGCAGCTGTGCGGGAAACTGATATTTGCCCTTCTGGTTTATCCATTGGGCAGGGTTTGGCTCTGCAGGCTGTTCTGGTATCTTTGGGGCAGCCCCTTTCGCCGCTCTTGCTATCACTTTATTTGTCCTTCGGTGTCCTTGCATCGGTTCCTGCGTCATCGGCTTTCTATTTTGGTTTTGGGGGGTTCAGTGCCATGGCATCGTCCCCTTCCCTCGCTCAATGTTTTCATGGACTCCTCGGCGCTTGGTTGGGGCTTTGTGAATAGTATTCACCAGTCCAGCCAGGGGCATTGGGGTCCGTCCTTTCGTCTGGCTCACAACACCGTGCAGGAGTTTGCGGCGGTATGGTAGGCACTCTGACGTGTTCGAATTCCTTGGGTCTCAAGTGATTTGGCTCCATTCATACGGTTCCCTTGTGGGTCATTTTCTCAACTGGAAAGGGGGGGCTCCCTTCGCTCTATCCCTCTTTGGAGCTGGTTACCTCAGGTAGCTCTTCTGCCGAGTTCTCGGGGCTTGTATCTCTGTGCCATTCAATTCAGGGAGTGTCCGATGTCCTGGTGGACAGCCTGTCTCACGTCATTCCTCTTTCCATGGAGTGAATAGTCGATGCCAAGTTCTTCCTTTGACTTTCCCGGATGTATGGACGTATGGATGTGGTTCTCTTCGCGGCAGCTTCGTCTCGGTATCTTCCTCTGTATGTGGCGCCGTTCCTCGACTGTGAGGCGTTCGCGTGGAATAATTTTTGGCTGGACGGGTTGAGATGGAGGGTTTCTGTACTTCTTTTTCCCAGTCCAGCTCTTGCACCGGGTTCTAGCTCAGCTGGAATCTTTCAGAGGGAGGATGCTTCTTCTGGCCCTGTGGTGGCCGGCCCAGTCTTGGTTTCAGGCGCTGCTTGCTCAGTGTCCAAGCCCAGGCATTTCTCAGTGGCTCTGCCTTTATTAGCAGGTCGGACGGGTGAGGTACCTCGCTGGTTTGGCCTTATCTTCTGACTTCCGCATTTGGTTATTCTGACCACAGGTCATCTTGTCAGTGACAGTACGAGGTTTCTTGGCGGGCTTTCCACCATTATCTTTATCTTCATCTGGTTTCTTCTGTGTCTGTCAGAGTTATTTTGGCCTTTCTTGGCTTTTTCTGGATGAGCCTCTCATACAGAATATTGTTGCTTCTTATCTCACAGCATTGGCGGAGCTGCTTCAGCTTGCATTCATGGTAGGTGTCACTTCCGCCATGTTCCGCAAGCTCTCTCATGCGTTTTTTTGCCTCTGGTTTGCTTATGTGCCGCCTGTGCCTGCTTGGTCTTTAGACCGGGTTCTTTCTTCTCCTCGGTTTGTGGTGGCCAGCCCCTTTGGTTATGGATTGTTTTTGAAAGCTTTGTTTTTGTTGGCTTTGGTCTCTGGTGGTCAGGTTTCTTGAGCTTCTGGCACGAAGCTCAAGAAGAGATTCATGCTCTTCTTCGGCGCCGGGGGTTTTGTTCTTTTGGTCCTGGTGAATATTTTGTTTGGTTGCAGCCAGCTCCTTCTTTTCTAGCGAAGAATGAGACTGCAGCCTTCAGGAGAGGTCCTTTGGTTGTGGAGTCTTGATTGGTTCGGCTGGGGGCTGCATCATGTTTTGTGTCCAGTAGCGGTCTTGCTGCGCTACTTGCGGGCCAGCAGTTCTGTCTCGGTGGATGCGTTATGGGTTGATCCAGTTTCCCCTGGTTCCCTGTTCCAGGGCTCGTGTGTCGCAAGTTCACAGTGTCATCAAGTCTAGCCAGCTCACAGTCTACCCCTCATGCCCATGATTTTAGGAAATGTGTTGCTCTGTTGGCTGTCTTTGGAAACATGTCTTGGGACAATATTTGGTCACAGGAATTTTGAAGGTCTAACAAGGTCCTGGCTGCTAGGCATCATGGTGAACTTCCCTGGCCCTCTGCAGCCTTGTGTTATTGTGTGACAGCTTTGGGGAGGCTGTCGCGGCTGATGGTCTCTTCTTTACGTTGATGTGTGTGGTGCTGCCACTTCCCTGGCAAGTCCATGTTTTTTCCTTCACTCTGGGTAGTTAGCTTCAAGGAGCCAATGGGGCTTCCCACAGAAAACTAGCATTGAATGTAATGAAACACCAGTTTCTGGGTAAGCCCAGGAAGCTCCCTGACACACTACCTCCCTCCGGTCAACAGCTTTCATCATTCAAGAACTGGCTGGTGGCGACCTGGCTCCCTTCCCCCCAATAAAATGATAATTGGATGAAGTTTTGGTTGTTTGTTTCTTGGTGGAGGAGTTCTTTTGATATTTAGAGGATATTTTTATATAAAACAGCAGTCTGTTTTGATTTGCCTACCTTTCTGGATGCTTCCCTGGTCGATGGCAAGATAACAAACTTTAAAGGTAAAGTGTTCATGAGCCATTGCTCCCTGCGCCTCTCTGAGGGGGCCAGGTTCTGGCTCATGGTCCCTATTAGGCATACAAGAACTGTGCGACTGATGACTCCATGTAATATGGCAATTAATTATTATGGATAGCTTCAGGGAGTCTCCAGGGCTCACCCAGAAACTCGCGTTTCATTACATTCAACGCTGGTCTCTTTTTATTGCTCATTCACTGAAGGCCAGCTATTGAAGAACCACGAGAAACTGGGCGTCCACGCCGCCGCCGCCGTCTGGAGCAAGTTCATGCAGATGTTATTGGTCGTGTGGTTCGTCACAAGTGGTACATTGATGGAGAGGGGGTGTATTGTACAGGTACAGTGTTGGGTATGTCTGCACCAGGGACAGTTCCAGAGGAATCAGATGATGGTCAGTTTATTAATGGAACATGCTATGATATCCAGTATGATGATGAAGATTTTGTGAGGCATTTGATTTTGGAAGGAGATTGGCAGCGAGGAGACGTCCAGGTCTTAGGCCGAGCCCCAAATATAGTTTAGGCAGGCATTCATATATTTTCATATTTGCAATAAAATAAAATTGTTATACAATTGATAGATTTTTTTTCATGGTCTCTATATTATACATTTAAAATAGTGTATGATTAAGTCCTTGGTGGTAGTCTTCATATGTATATTTGAAAGTGTAAAATGTAAGAGCTCATGCAATTTTTATTAACAAATCTATTGATATAGTAAGTCAATAATATTAATTTTTAAATATAAAATGTTGATGTAATTTACATCAATTAATATTTTATATACAGTACAGTATTTAAATTTTTAGGCTTTTACAGTAGTTATATCTTTTATAATGTATTATTAGGGACAGTTATATATTTTAGAATGCCCAAAGAAAAATTTATATAGCATTTAATTTAGGGAGAAAATCTTAGAAAAGCCATGGGATGACATTGTACAAATATGATGCAAATAAATATTTTTAAATGTTTTTTGTTATTCTTATGCCTATCTAATTTCAGAAAATACAAAAAGAAAACAGCACTGTTTTCAAGAAACATATATGTAATTTGCACATACTGCATACACACACTATCCAGTAAAACGCGCGTAAAAAATACTGTCTACGTTTGTTACTCTGCTTAATGTGAGGCCCCTCCTTCCCTTTGAGTTAACCCTTAAATAGTGGTTATCATCATATGATGATTCATGAGGTAATGCAGTTATCATAGGATGATTTAAACTATTATTGTCAGTTTTTTTTACACACATGATGCAAATGGGGATATAATAGCTCTATGTGAATGTAGTGGAGTTATGTTGACCCATGAAACAAATCTTGCTATTGGTTCATGGTTTTGTTACTGTGTGATTGTAGTTATCATCCTAAATGTTACCAGGTTAATGCAGTCGTCAACATTGTATAATAATTTAGCCAGAGGCTGCAGTTTACTAAGAAAATGATTCTAAGTGAATTAAAATTAGATCTCAATAAATGGGTGAATGTAAGCAGTCCCATTAGCCATGTTCCCTAGGGTGTGGAGAGGGTTACGAGGGATAGCATCCAGATGAACACCTCTATTAATGACAACTCCAGTACTCAGAATATCAGGATTACAGAAAGGACACCTGACCATAATTCCATAGAAGACATTACTGCAGGGGCATCAGTAGTTGGGAATAGAGGTCAATAGGATTGGACCCAGGGTAACAGCCTCATTAGATGTTGAGAAGTCTTGTCCTAACTACTTACTCAGACCTTGACAAAACATTCAGGAGAGTGTGAAAGACTTGATGTAAATTTGTTACATAAATCTCACAAATACACACGTGTTGGTTTTTATCCTAATGATTTGAATTCTACAATAGTCATTAATTTACAGCAGCATAGAAAAAGGTGGGTGGATTGCCTCTCCCTAGATTGCCAACACCTTGTTACAATGTCCTAAATAAAAGGTTGATTCACAATTTGGAAAAGGAAGTTGAGGTAATGAAGAAAATACTGGACTGGATTAGAATGTGAGGGTGAAGGGAAGTAGCAAAATGGGTCGCACCGGTTTGGTATTTGGACAACTACCATTCCCGAGTTATATAAACAATCTTCCTGAAGAGGTATGACCATGAATGATAATGTTTCCAGAAGAAGGTTAAATAATAAAGAGGACTACATTATATTTCAAGACCTATGCACTGCAATAATAGGTGGACAATTAGCTACTAAGGTTTATTCCTATCAAATGAAGAGTAATGAGTTTTGAGAGGCAGCTACAGGAATCTAAAAAAAGGACATGGATGTGGATTTAATGCTAAAGGCATCTAAAGATTGAATAACAGCAGCATATGTGAAACCCGTGATTACTGTATGGATGGCTTTCTGGAACTAAAGCAAAAAACCTTTATGAATAAAAAGAATGTAATAAAAAATACAGTAAAAAAATACTCATAGGTAGAGGTGGTTAACTATATAATTTAGCTTAAAAGTATCTCATTGATTACAAATTGAAACCACAATATATATATATTTATTTATTTATTTATTAGATAATATGATGAGATTGAATTGACAAATCTTGACTCCCCCTGTACACGTACTACCAACCGAGCCAAGATGAGGTCAAAAGTATCGACTGGAAGTTCTACTTTGCTTGTAACAAGAGAGCAATACATAGTAGTACAACATGAACATTATAACAGCATGAACAAGCCACGTGGAGCATGAACAACCCACAGGCGTGGCGGCAGACAATGGAAAAGTTACATCTCTGTACAAGTTAACCATGGGGACAGGTCAACGGTCACCGAGTCACGAGGCGGTCAGAGTTGGTGTCGTCATGATAATCTACAGGGATTAACCCCCCCTTCCCCCTCCCCACATCAAATGCAAACCCTCATGTTCAACTGGGGAGCAAGAGATCATGGAAGGAGGACAGTAGAGTGGGTAAAGCCCAGTAGGACGGTGTGAGTGGACTCCAGGAGGGATCATCTCCTCTAGGAGAACTGTTGTACACCTTACGAGTAAGTACGGCTCTCTTGAACTAAAGCCCCTCATTCAGGACTCTTTGCCTCTGGTAGGGAATATAATAGGGACGTGTCTATCTAATTAGTTCAAATAAAGTCATGTATTGTCAAGTGTTATTAAATGTGGATTAATGGTTCCTTGTCTTAGTGATATTGGGCCTACCGTCCCCCTTTGCCCTGGTGACCTAGTGTCACCAGGGCAAAATTATTCAGTACTCCTCTCCCCGTCCGTCCCTTGTTGAGGTGTTAGTATTGGATGTGTCCCGCCTTATTCTTGTGTACTCTATAGTTCCCAAGTGGTCAGGATTATTCGAGTGACAGGCCAGGATCCTTGTACCATTCATTCATTTGTCCCCTACACCTGTCCTGGTAAGTTTATACCATCTGCAAGGCCTACGAATCTCACTCCGGTCCCCTGTCCGGTAACTCAGGGTGGTGGCAGCGTTACTCGGTAACTCCTACGAAGGCTGTGA